TTATGCTTTTCCTTACTGGATTGTGTAGGAGTTCCCCCGGTTGCGTGAAGTACTAGTTGCATAGCTAGCCTGACACCTTTGTTGCCTAATTAGGATCTGATGTAGACTAGGCCCGATCTTCCGAAAGGTATGATAGCGTCGATTGGTGGAGACTCAACGTTCACGATCTAGGCTTCGAACCAAGACTGATTCGGACCCCCGCAACCGTTACACCACTGCTCTGTTGGTTGTCAACCACGTGAACGCGATTGACCTCGCCGAGAAGGCTTTCCTGCAAGCGAATCGAGAACACAAGCAAGAACGGGATGAACGCAATCTGAAATTGCAAATATATATGAGGCTTAAGATAACGAGAAAGAGTTCAAGTCTTTATTCAAAAGGACTAATTACCACAGGCGAACAAGATCAAGAACTGGGGCCCTGATTCACAGCAAGCGGCCTTGGCGGCGACAGTTGCAGCAAAACAATGTCTGTTTCACGAGGAAATCAAGAACTAAACAAAACCCAAACCCTAAGGAGAGCGACGGCTGCTAAATATAGAGTCTTGGGCGTCACCCCCCTGGACGCGCCCCCTAATGGGCCCAAACACGATAGACGGTCCAAATTACGGTGTCGCAGCACCCTGGCAGATTCTGGGCGCTGACTTGTGACCACGATTCCCGTTGATTCCGAATAGCGTTTGATGTGAGACCACTTGGATTGGCTTCCTTATCAAATTATCTTTCCATCCATATGTGGATCGTCGAAAACGGAGTCCGGATGCATCCTGGGTGACCAGTTTAAGGCAGACTGGTTCTGGAGGCCGAGATGGACTCGAACTTGATTTGGACCCCCACCTTGGTGACTCGAACCGAATGAGCTTCGGACCTCCTTCTCGCTTAGGACACCCTCGCTGATCTCCTTGGTCTCCATATGGTTCTCCAAGCATGGTCATATGTATGGAGGTCATGTCCTCATCAGGATCTTTATAAGTTGTTTGTGAACTTAAATAGATGGGTGTAGTCTTAGCTAGACTGATAGTTTTAACTCCGCATTTGTTTCGGTTAGCCGGCGCGATTAGTTTTAGAAAGGACTATTCACCCCTTTAGTCTGTCATCTCGACCCTACACCTCTAACTTGGGATCGACTCATGACAATTTCAGCACTGTAGTTTCTGCTTGGCCCCTTCGTCCATCTAGTGATTGCTTACTGTGTTTCCCATATTTGCCCATTTCAAAGCGTGCACTTTTACAGTAGAAAATGGGGCATCGGTTTATGTTTCCCCTGCGTGTTTTCCGCAGCTTAATTCCGATGTTTTACTTAGTTTTTTTTAACAGTAGGTACCACCAAACTTAATGTTTCACCAAGCATTTTTCCTGTTGATTTTGAATTGATTTACATTTTTTGCCCAGATCCTAGGAGCCTGTGTGGCTCCACCTTTGGTCAGTGCCCCTTCAATAGGTATGTTTCTCTTGCGTACGGAGGGCGTGTGCCTGTCTCTTCAACGTTTCACTTCATTTGATTCTCTAATCCCCCATTCTTTGCTTTTGTTTCTTACCAGAATTGGTGCTCCTAACAGTAATCAGTGCCTTCGAACAACCCAGCGCTGAGATCTAGATCCCAAATCATGGACCTCATCATTATTATGGCCAAGGTGTTTGATCGAATAATGATGGGTTGGATTTGTATGGGATTAAACTCCAAGGACTTGAATTTGTGAATCTAGGACATGATAATTGTGCATGAATGTGTAACATTGAAATTACTTGAGACCTGCATTTTTTTTACCTTATGTAACAAATTGTTATTTACCACAGGATGTTCCATGGACTACCAATATTGCATTTACATGTTATTATTGCACAATGTTTGGTGTATGATAGGTTTACATAATGACCTCATCTATGTTACCTTTTTCGAAATTGTAGTTGGGCCTCAATGAATTGTGAAATATTCATGAAATAATTCTAAGTGGTCTTTGAGGTTGTATGGAAAGAACACAAGACAATCGTAAACGTTACCAAGACATGTTTTCTATTTATAGAGCACGTATACTCTGTTTAAGTGTTACTCCACGCGCGCAAGGGCGCTGTACTAGTCTAATAAAAAATAGTGGCGAAGCTCTTGTCGTGCTTTCGAAAGGATAGTTGTAGGGCGGGCATGGTGGAAGATGAGTAGCCATTCCACTTAAAAATACTTGTATTCCTTTGGCATGTCACTAGGCGGAGTCAATGCGGTACTTTAAGACCGACAAATCCAAGTGATTTCTTTAACTCAAGATTGATGGTGGTGAATCTTGATTCATGAAAATATCTTGCCATAGCTATAAAACAGTGAATATGGCTGACTAGTGTCATAGACCAAGCCAAACAAAAAGTATCTCGGTTCCGAATTATAAGACGTTTTGGTTCTTGTTGTACATAAATTATTTTTGCTACATATCTAGACATAATATGTATCTAAATGCATAGCAAATGCTATGTAACTAAAAAAGTCAAAACGTCTTATAATTTTATATGGAGGGAGTATATTTGAAACACAACCCAAAAGCTCTGAAACTCTAGTTCATTTGTCTCTCATGATAGACTTGAACTCCGCTCTTGAGATTTTTGTTTCAAGAGGTTGCTTGAGGGATGACATTCTTCTCCTTAGCATGCTCAGAAAATTTCTCAGCAGTTGCAGCCAATGGTGCCGTGCTGACCATAGCTTCAAGTTCTGGGTGCGCATCATCAATCTCATACTCGATAGTCGACCTTATCACCGACGAGTTGGGCCCTTTTGAAATTACCTCAAACCGTATCATGTAGGCCAGGAACCCCAGCTTCAGAATGTCGCCATCAATGGCTTCTGCCTCCTTGATAAAGTTGTCGTTGTCAACTTTGATGAACTTCTCCTTGTAACTCTGCAGCCCAGGAATCCCTAGCAAGAGCAGAGCAGAGCAATTAAATGTTGCTACTACTATACTATATGTTAGCATATGCAATATCAAAGATTATGGCAGCCACGTGTCTTTATACAAATAAAGTTTGTCTCACCAGGAGGAAATGTTAGCTGCAAGATGGTACCAACACCGCCGTCGCCGCTGACGAGCTCGACCTTGGCGAGCACGTGCGGGAGCAGCTCCGGCAGGAGCTCCGCGGCGCGGAGCGTGCCGTAGATCGCCCACAGCTCGGAGGCAGGGACGTCGGCCTCGTGCTCGTGGACCTTGCTTCCCTTCATTCCTAGTTCCTCGGCCTTTCAGCTGCTGCGGTGTATGTGTTAGGTGAGCGGCCTGTGGAAGCTCCCCGGTGTGCCTGCTGCATATATATAGACAAGCCAGACTATACCGAAAGATATGCTAATCTTTTCTGCTTGGGATCTCCAAGAGCTGATGCGGCCAGACTGAGCAAGGCTGGCATTTGGCTGCATCTGCCCCTCATCAAGACGAACAAAGAGTTATTATTGCCTGATGAGCAGGCCTGAGATATTGATTACCATATGTTTGGCCGCCCTGAACCGGCCGAAGTCAGTCACTTCTTGTGTAGTCAGTCACTTGGCCGCCCTTATTTGTTTTTTTAGCAAGCTTGGCTTGTTTGGGACGACACATTTGTTTGGATACAGTCCGTGTCTGCTCCCTCTCATCATAAATACTCGTCGCAACTGATTTTTTCTATCGATCTTCAACTTTAACCAGTATTTTGTTCTTATTAAACTGAAGTTGTTATAACCATGATAATACGAAAATGATTTTAATAAAATATAAATATATGTTTTCTATGTTTCTAAATTATTAAATACTTTAGAAACTATTGACAGCCGAAGCTTCAAAATTTTGATTGGATTTTGATCAAAGCATCAAATATTAGTGACCGAGTAGAGTATATCATGTTCTCTGTTCTAATTGGTGTGTCCTATTTACTTATTTATTTGGGAAAGATATGTTGTGTCCATCTCTCTGATTAATTGGAGTGTCCTATTTACTTACTTATTTGGAAAAGATACTTTTGTGTCCCTCAAATACGCCGGCAGACGCTTTTGTATTTAGTTTTTGCCACTAAGCAGACATGTCACGCCACTTATTACGTACTCCATTCGTTACAAATTATATGTCGCTTTGACTATTTTGATACTATCAATTTGCTATGTACAAACTCGTCTCTTGTTTACGTAGTGAGTCGCCATCTCCAGCTTTAGCTTCATAGTAGGATGGAATGGGCAGCTTCAGCGTAGGGTCATGGTTGCCCGATGAGTTGGAGCCACTCTGACTCGGAGCGATGGTGGGGAGGTCAAGATGCTATAGTGCTGGATGGAGGATGGCATGACTAGCACTGGTCACTTTAGTGTGTGTGTGTGGTGAGAATGACGTGCGGGCTGACATAGGGTCCCATAGAACATGTCGCTCGGGTGCATGGGGTGAGGCTGTAGTATGGGGATCTAGGGTGCGATGGGAATGTTGCTCGGACGAATGGGTGAGGCTAAAGTATGGGGATCAAGGTAAGAAGGAATTTTGTTATAGTAGAAAAGAAAACAATGTAAGCACAACAGTTTTACATAGGGTCCCATAGAACAGAGGTGATTCTCACTGCAAGCAATAGGAGCATTGTGTCAAATATGACATCTATCCCATTTTGTCCCATCTCTCCTAGCAAACAAAGACACTACTACACAACAGAAAGTTCATCACCAGTCGGTAGTGAAACGTCGGCAGTGACTGCCGGTTAAGAACTAATGGTGATTAATATGCTATCACTGTTGATTTGGCGTTTGATCCGGCTGTGATCATGGCATGGTCACCACTAGTATCTCTCTCAAATTTCATGACAATCCACTATGGTGTTGTTGTTAGATAGTACTATTAATTCTCCTGTATAGATTCTCTTAATGTACAACGCAAAGATAATTCTCGCAGCAACGCGCGGGGTATCGTATAGTTAGCTAAACACCTCTAAAAGAGATCGAATTGGAATTCCATCTCTCTCACTAAAAAAAAGGTTGTTCGCAACCGCAAGGCGTCCAACGACGTGAGGAGAGGCCCTCTGCGCATGCCGTTCCGGCCAAGAGCGGGGCAGCCTCCCCCAGGGGCTGGCACTGGCACGGCCACGCAGGAGAAGGCGGCGTACCCTTACGCCGGAACCGACGCGACGTTGAAGCAGCCTGTGGTGTGGAACGGCAAGGTTACTTACTGCTGATGGAGTTGGAGCACGCGGTGGCGCGCACACAACAACTACTCCCACGAATGTGAACAGCCTGCCCACACCACAAAGAGGACGCCGCGGATTTCTGCTACCCGGATGAGCCAGAGATGTCGACGGTGAGCTGCGTCGCGAGCAGAGCAAGAGACGTCCACCGCACAGCCTCGATGAAGACACCACCTCGACGGGCTTGCGACGCGGGTCAGGCCGACGGCCAACCTCCTGACTGACACAGGATGCTTTGCCCCTGCTCTGATCCCTATCGACGGCCGACCGAGACTGAAAGCGGAGGGGGCGATGTGGGTTCGGTACTGTCGAAGTGCCAACCCAGCCAGCGGAGTTAGCACGGCCAACCAGACTTGGCTAAGCTGCAGGTGCAGAACAAATGGCCGGCTGTCTCTGGTTCTCTCTTGACTGCACAGGGGACATGCTGTATGACTCTGTGATCCTCACCGAAGACGACGATCAGCGGTCCACACACGCCAGATCACCGCCAACCACATGAGGAAACAGAAGTAGTGCAGTAGGAATCATAATGTATAACCATCGTCCAAAAGTTGACCGAATAAAAATCACAATCTAGCTTCAAAATAATTCTAGAGGATATGGAATGACGTTTCCTCCACGTTTTGAAAGAGCGCATCTTCTCTCCGTCTTTGTTTTGATGGTTCCATTACAAGGGCATACTGGCATGACAACAATGTTAAGCAGAATCACAGATTCATATGGCCGGCACTAATTTTAGAAGGGAAAAAAAGATGGGAAGATCAGAGTGATGAACAAAAAATCGATGGCCAAAGAACCAGAGCAAGTCAACAAGTCTGCTAAATGCCAAAGCAGTAAACAGAGGACAAGCCGTTGTCGCGCCGTAACCATTGACCACAGACGCAGTCTCATAAATTATCCAATGTCAACCCCGCTCTTTCAGAGTTCACACATCACTTCTTGTTCTTGATCCTCCTCCTGGTCCCTCTTTTACTGATTCAACAGTAATAAGAGAATAAAGACAATAGTGCAAGTCAGCATAATAATCACTGGCCAGTATTAACTGACAACCAGAATTGATCCTTTTGTCCACTAAAACTGCACGGCAGTGTAGACATCAAAGGCCGTCGGAAGTCAAAACTAACACTTCTTCTCGCCTAGAAGACACCTCAAACCAAAAATGTAGGAAGTTAGGTAAATGTCACGAAGCTCCACACCAACAACGACAAATACAGTTCTTCCACAAAAAAACAACGACAAATACGTAGGAAGTAAGGTAAATGTCACGAATCACGACTAACATGATCAGATGATGCGCATATAAACAGCCAGTGTGTTTGTGAGTTCACAACTACTTCCTTCTCGCCTCAAGAACTGAAGCCATCTTCCTTTTACTTCGATTTTGCAAATGACGATCTGGCTTTCTCCATGTGCCATATCCTTACTTTTACTCTTGCTTTCTCTTCAACAATCTCCATCTCAGGCCTCTGACTCCGATACCCTCACTGCAAACCAGCAGCTCTCTGGTAACCAGAAGTTAATCTCTCAGGATGGCAACTTTGCGCTAGGATTCTTTCAGCCTGCAGGTAAGCGCCCCCCTTTTTTGTTGTTGTAGTCATCCCATTAAACCTGTGATCCAGCTTAAATAGCTGGTCAGCGCAACTATAAACTATAATACAATCGCATTACGTAATGGAGCCCTATCTGGCAGGATGCACCTATTTTAGCTAGTTCATGTGCTACTGTGTTACAGTCACGTGGAACATGCTCTATTTCTGATGAGTTGAACTGCAAGCCGGTCGTCCGAACAGGATAGTGCCTGATTCACCTGCAATGCATCTGTTTCCAAGATTATTCTTCCCATTCCTTGGGCACGAGCAGCTCTAACTCCCTGAATGCACGCAATCAGTTCAGAGTGCATAGCATCACTCGCATGCTCTAGTCTCCCAGCCCCAGCTTGGATTACATCCCCTTCATCATCACGGATGAAAGCCCCAGCTCCATAGCCCTGATTTCCTCATCTTGCCTTGCTGATACGAAGAACAATTCTGAGGGCTCCCTTCTTCCCCCTTCCCTGATTTATTTCCTTACCTCACTCCACCAATGTTACAATAAAAACAGTTTCAGGTCAGCCCTATTTTAATCACACGCCTCATGTTATAGTTATACAAATGAACAAAATGTGAAGCTCTTGAAGTGGTCAGCAGGAAAACTAATTGTTAAGGTGATCTACTGTACTACGGAGTTTCACTTCCAACCAAGATTGTCACAATCCTAGGCTGAAGACAGCATTACGATCCTAGATTGAGTAGAAAAATGGCACCCTAGCCAGAAGCTTAACTTCTTTATGATCTTAGAGAAAGATGAGTACAATCTTAATCATAATTTACACACGGTTATATAATATTCATATCTGGAACTATAATTTGTATTTGCACCATATTTTTGTAATGGAAACATTTAAAACATGATACTTATCATAATATGCACATAAAGTCAACCCAACCTTTCAAGATGACTTCGGAATTAGTAGAATGTAAGAAGTTTATATTCATGTGGCATAGTTGGTCCTATTATATGACCTTTTTATTTCTATACTATACTTGCAGGGGAAGGATCAAATGGCAAATGGTACATAGGCATTTGGTACAATAAAATCCCAGTACAAACTATAGTGTGGGTAGCTAACAGAGAGAAATCAGTCTCTGATCCAGTCTCTTCAAACCTAATCATCTCAGACGATGGAAATCTTGTTATTCGACTTAACAATTCTGAATCTCCAATGTGGTCTACCAACATTAAGAACAACACAACTCCCAATTCCACGATTGCCACGCTGCTTAATACTGGGAACCTTGTAGTCAGACATAACTCCAATACCTCCATTGTGTTGTGGCAAAGTTTTGACGATTTCACTGACACATGGCTCCCAGGAAACAAACTCAGCCGCAACAAGAAAACCGGCATCGTCAAACAGATGATCTCTTGGAAAGACCATGGTGACCCAACGCCTGGAATGTTCTCCATTGAGTTGGACCCAAAAGGCTCACCACAATATGTCCTCCTATGGAATAGGTCGGTAGTGTACTGGGGTTCCGGTAACTGGACAGGGAATTCATTCAGTGGTGTACCAGAGTTGTCACCTACAAATTCATATCCCAACTCAGCATATACATTCCAGTTTGTTGATAATGATGAGGAAACATACTTCGCTTACTATGTTACGAGTGATGCAAAAATATTTACAAGAGCTATTGTTGATGTATCAGGTTTGTTCCAGGCTTTTGTATGGATAGAAGCAGCACAATCATGGGTGACTTTTTTTACGCAACCAAAAGCTAAGTGCAGCGTGTATGGAGCATGTGGGGAAAACAGCATGTGCAGTGAGAATGCTGCATCATCATGCAGTTGCCTCAGGGGCTTCATTGAGAATTACCCAAACAATTGGGTATTAAATGACCATACAGGAGGCTGTAGGAGAAACGTCCCATTGAAATGTGGAAACAATGGCTCCATGAAGGCAAAGCAAGACAGATTCTACCTGATTAATAGTGTGAAGCTGCCTGATAATGCACACGTTGTCGATGCTGCTAACACTCATGATTGTCAGTTAACTTGCCTCAACAACTGTTCTTGCACAGCTTACTCACATAATGGCACTTGCTTGGTTTGGCATGATCATATGATGAATCTTCAAGACAATACTGGTGGATCAAGTGATAGAATCTTTATTAGATTGGCTGCATCAGAAATACCCAATTCGGAAACCAAGAAATGGTGGATAATTGGTATAATCATTGGTGCATTTATCATTATAGGTCTTGGGGTGACCATTGTACACTTTCTCCATAAAAGAAGAATCAGTAGTATAAATCAAGGTGACAGGCCTTTGATTAGATTCAAATACAGTGATTTGCAGTTTCTGACAAGAAACTTCTCGGAGACGTTGGGTGCAGGGTCTTTTGGGTCTGTTTTCAAAGGGGTTCTACCAGACACAACTACAGTTGCAGTAAAAAAGCTAGAGGGCTTTCATCAGGGGGAGAAGCAATTCAGGGCAGAGTTGAGCACCATCGGAAATATTCATCACATAAACTTGATTCGGCTACTTGGGTTTTGTTCTGAAGGAGCCAAGAGATTGCTAGTCTATGAGTATATGCCCAATGGTTCCCTGGATAAACTATTGTTTCGTGATAGTTCTATCAATTTGAATTGGAAAATAAAGCATCAAATTGCCGTAGGGATCGCCAAGGGTTTGGCTTATTTGCATGAGGAGTGCCGGGATTGCATCATACACTGTGATATCAAGCCGGAAAATATACTGTTGGATGCTTCATATGTTCCAAAAGTGGCAGATTTTGGGTTGGCAAAGTTACTAGGTCGGGATTTTAGCCGAGTTTTAACATCTATGAGGGGCACTGTAGGATATCTTGCACCAGAATGGATAAGTGGTGAAGCCATCACAACGAAGGCAGATGTGTTCAGCTATGGAATGATGCTTTTCGAGATCATATCAGGAAAGAGGAATCTGGAGCATACAGAGACAACCATGGAAACATTTTTTCCTGTGTTGGCTGCGAGGAGGCTTCTTGCTGGAGAAGTACAGACACTGTTCAGCTCAGAGTTGATCGGTGGTGTCCATGTAGGGGATCTAGAAAGAATATGCAAGGTTGCTTGCTGGTGTGTTCAGGATAGTGAAAGTTCAAGACCAACAATGGGGGAGATTGTCAAAATTCTGGAAGGTCTGGTAGATGTTGAACTGCCGCCGGTTCCAAGATATCTTGAAGTTCTTGCCCAAGGCATAGAGAATGTGGGATTCTTTTACTCTGAGCCAACTAAGTGAATAGGTTAACTTACAAGGAATACCCTACATATTCTATTTACATATGAGGACGATCATATAATGTAATTACGATGACTACAGTGTAAAGCTTCTTAAGTGAACCCATCCTTCCTTATTATGAATTGGGAAACAAGAAATAAATCATAGTTTGGTACATTTGAGTTCTACTTTTTGGCACCAGGTCACCTCTGTGATTCTGTTCCTGTAATTAGCGAATGGGTCCTAGACCGGCTGTTTAGGATGTCCCAGTAGCACCCTCGTGTGCTGGGTTCGATCCCCCATGGGACGAATTTGCCAGCTGAGGTAAAAAAAAAACTCTCGCTTGTCCCGCTTGTCCCGCATTCCCAAAGCACAGGTCTAAGGCCTCGTCCATTCACAGGGAGCCACTGTGTGAGGGTGAGGCATGAGGTTCAGGATTTTCTACCTTAAGCACAGTGTTCGGGAGTAAAGCGAGTAAAGCACACAGGAGCGACTAAAAAGAAATTTGAGTTCACTGATTGACGGCACATCAAAGTGGTTAAAGAAAACATGGCAACCAATGTGTACTAGTAGAGCGACACAAAAGTTTGGATATAATCAGCCTGTTCGGAAGGTCGTATCGTATCGTGTATTATTTACTACTGGCTGATTTGGTGTGAGAGAAAAACATAGTTCCCGACTAGAAATTTACGATCCCTTACGAGCAAGCGAACATTGAAAGATGTATCGCATATGCCTCAATGATCCCAAGTAAACACCACAATCAGAGACTATGACACAATAATCGAGGGTATTCCAAAGGCTGCAGCAACTTACTTACCCGGGAGGCAACGCATGGTGATGCTGAGTTGCGGATGGCCGCACGGGGAATCAGCCCATGAAGAACCGATGCAGCATTGCAGCGGACATCGGCGCATCGCCGGGGGCGGGGCGAGGGCAGAGGGATTACGTGAACCTCGGCGTGCACGAGTGCTGGTCAAAGATACACAAACACAGGCTCACCGGTGGACGCAATGCCGTCCTGAATGTGCGACGAGCCGACGACCGGTGAGCGGTGAGGGAGCAGACGGCCGACGGTTTCTAGTGGCGTGCGCAGGATTAGGTCTGCAGGTGGGCTAACTGAATGTGGGCCTTTTGGGCCGGAGAGAATGCTCCCAGTAAGTTTGGGTTGTAAACTCATTTAAAAGGAAAAAAAAGTCAGTTTTTCTTCACTTTTTTTCTTTTTATTTATTTTGGCTGAATCTTTGAAAAATTATAATAAATTACAGAAAAATCATAAAATGAAAAATCCAATTGTGTTGGACTCCACATGAGTAGATCTACACAATGAATATATGATATGATATGATATGCTTTAGTATAAAGTTTTTGTTGTAACCTTAGATCTATATTTTTATATAATGAATTCATAGATGAAGTTTCTCTTATTCAATTATGGTGAAACTTTTATGGTGAATTTATCATTCCATGCTTGAGATGTAGAAAAAGTTCATGCTCATTGGATAACTCAGTCATATATGATCCAACGAGCAAACAATTTTTGTTACATCTTGAGAATTCAATGATTAGTCCACCATAAAAGTTTCATCATAATTAGACCACAGAAACTGAAGCTATGAATTAATTACAAAAAACATAGATCTAAAGCTACAGCAAAAACTTTATACTAAAACAAACCATATCACATGTTTATTGTGTAGATCTACTCATGTGTAGTCTAAAAAAATTCATACCCGTTAGATCATGTATGACTGAGTTATACATTTAATTTAATTAAAAACTATTTAACAAACATAAACCTAGATAAATCTATAACTCAATCATGCATTATTTAATGAGCATGGAATTTTTACTACAGCTCAAGCATGCAATAGTTAGCCCACCGTAAGAATTTCACCACAATTGGATTAGAGAAACAACAGCTATGAATTAGTTATAGAAAAACATAAATATAAAGTTAAAACATAAACTTTGTACTAAAGCATACCATATCATATGTTTATTGTGTAGATCTACTCATCATGTGGAGTTCAACATAATTGGATTTTGTATTTTATGATTTTTCTACGATTTACTATGATTTTTCAAAGATTCAGCCAAAATAAACATTAAAGAAAAAAAAAGAAAAAACACCCATGAAAACAGCCATGGAGGTAAAGTGATCGGTTTTGAGAGATGAGGGAGGAACTATGTCTGCTTTTAGAGTTGAGGGAGAAAAAGCTAACTTTTATGATAGTTGGGGGAGGCAAAATGGACTTTTTCCCATTTAAAATGGATTGATGGAATTTTCTTGCACTTAGGGCCTGTTTGGATTTCCGGCTCTAAACTTTAGATCTATCTAAAGCTCCAAACGAGTAGTTTAAAGTTAGCTCTAGACTTTAGCCCACAAAAAATAGAGTTTTAGAGCTCAAAAGTAACCTAAAGTGCTCTAAAGCTTTTAGAACTCTAAAATTTAGAGGAGGGGATCGAAACAAGCTCTCATTTTGGTTAGATTTGAGTGATACACTATCACATTTTATTTAAAGGCGTGTTTGGATCTTCGGCCAGCCCCAGCTCGCCTAGCCAGTTAGAAAGTAGAAAGGCAAACGTGTTTGGTTTTCCAGCTAGTTTCCTCGAGGTCTGAGCAAGCAATGCTTCTGTGAGGGAGGGATTTCGGCTCGCCCGAGCGGTGAGGTCCTCTTTTCTACGCCGCGAGCGAGACAAGGTGAGGCAAACCAACCAAACGCACCCTAAATCACTATCAATTCTTAGGGTGCATTTGGTGCACCTCCTGGGGCTCCGGCTCCTTCTCTTTGGCTACTGTAGGATACTGTTAGACACTGTTGTATACTATAGCGCAACAAATAACAACTCTGGCTCCTTTCCAAATACACTGAGAAAATGGAGGAGCCAAAGAAGCTGCAAGTTTGGGGCTCCGGCGGCTCCTCTACAGTATCGCTAAAGTGTTGCTACAGTTGAGGAGCCGGAGCCTCACTTAAAGGACCTTGATGTCACCTAGAGGGGGGTGAATAGACCTGTTTAAAACAAAACTCGAAAACTATTGTCAGTTTCAGAGCGTCACTATCGCGTGCACAGACACCTAAGAAAGCACAATTCAAAATCTACCTAAGGAAAAGTAGATCGAGCAAATTATTAATGTTCCTAGGATACTGTAGAGCCTATTCCACCACCTGGATGTTGGTGGAAGTGCACGAGCAAGTAGATCAGGACCAAACCCTAGAATCACCACAAACACAAGCATAGCAATGCAAATCACAAGAACACAAGTGAGACACTGATTTATCCTATGGTTTAGCTCGCCACCAAGGCTTACCTATGTCCACGTTGTTGAGGAAGCCACTAAGGCTTTGGTCTCTTTCAACCTTATCCTCGTTCTCAAGTCAAGAGAATGAACTCTTGAGATGAGGGTGTCGGTGTTTCGAGTTACCAACTAGTAAATTTCTAGTATTGCGCATCTGGCTCGGATGGTGTGTTTAGAGGACACGAGGTTTATACTGGTTTAGGCAGAAAGTCCCTATGTCCAGTTCGTCGTTGCTGCTCATGTTATTAGCACTAAAAGTTTATAGTAGGGGTTATAAACGAGCGAGAGAGGGACATGTCCTAAGTCTCTGATGTGTGTGTGCTCCTAAGGCATGTTAGGGCGTATGTTTTGATGTCTACAGCCGTGTAGAGTGGTGAACCACTGTACCCCCTCTAGGGGTGTCCTGCTTCCCCTTTTATAGATGAAGGAGAAGAGTAGGTTACACAGAGAGAAAGAGCGAGAAGAGCTAAGGAGAGGAAGGCTTCTAGGACCACTGGGCCTTTCTTCTCCTTTATGCGAGTCCCGCCAACACTGTAGATGGTGACAGGGATGGCTCTATGCCAGACGCCTGTTCGCCACTGATGCCACGCCCCGGTGTTATCAGCGCGTCATGACGTCCCATTCCGTCCCGACAGGCGACGCGGCGAACCAGCATGCTGGTCAGTGGTCGTATAGGGAGTAGGCAGCATAGTGACCACGCATCCATCACTGCTGGCGATGTGAGTTCCCTAGAGTAACATGTCGCGGGCATGGGTCATGTTGAGATATGCCTACTCCTTGCACGATGCCAGAAGTTTGACATTGGGTTGTACTTTCAGGCCCATAGTGGTTGGCGGTGGTATGGGCTTCCGTTAGGAGCCACACCTGAGGGGCCGGGTGAGACGGAGCCCCTGACCTAGAGGCCGGGTGAGACAGAGCCCCTGATCCAGAGGCCGGGCGAGCCAGAACCCCTGACCTAGAGGTCGAGCGAGGCGAGGCCCTCGACCCAGAGGCCGGACGAGGCGGAGCCCACCCCTAGAGGCCGGGCGAGGCAAAGCCCTCGACCCAGAGGTTGGGCGAGGCAGGGCCCACCCCCAGAGGTCGGGCGAGGTAGGGCCCATCCCCAGAGGCCGGGCAAGACGGAGCCCCCGACCTAGAGGTCGGGCGAAGCGGGGCCGCCCCTAGAGGTCGGGAGAGGCAGAGCCTGCCCCTATTGGTCGGGCGAGGCGGGGCACGCCCCCAATGGTCGGGAGAGGCAGGGCCCGCCCCTGGAGGTGGGGGTGAGGTGGAGCCCGCCCCCAGTGGTTGGGCAAGGCAGAACCTACGCACCTAGGTGTCGGTTGGAGCTGTAGTCATGCTCTTAACTGCTCGGATGCATCAATGTTGATGACCATTAGCTCCTCCTTTTCGGGTACTCTAGTATTGGTCCCCAATAGTAGCCCCTAAGCCTAAGGAGGAGTAGAATACTCCTCGGAGGCTTTTCTGAACGGGAGGACTCTGAGGGCCTTGGCCTTCTTTTATCGCCCACAGCATGTCCTGGGGATGGCGATTCCCTTTCATCGTGATCGGACCCCTCGGGGGTATAGTCGTGAGATTTGGTGGGTCAAAAAAGGTCTTTCCTAATTCTGACCCCTACGGGAGTCTGACCGACCTTCTGTCCTTCTGTGACCGCGCGTTCGGTCTTCTTGTGAGTCCAACTTTCCTCGAGCCCCCGCCCATAGCAGGGGTCCGGTCGAAGGTT